GTAGAGGGAGAAGGAGAGAGAGAGAGAGAGAGAGAGAGAGAGAGAGAGAGAGAGGATCGCCCACGCAGATAGCATCCGCTGACTTTTACGTTTTGTCGCGCGTTGTTACAGCAATTATCAACTAATTATCTATACGAGACGAGCAACGCTGCGTTATTGAAGCGTTACAAATGTATCATAAATAATACTTGTTGTGCCGCATCGTGTCTCATCACAGCCATCTCGCTTCTCGTCAACGCGTTATTAGCGTTTATTCATGTTTCTTAAAATTCTTGAAGATTGTTGCGTGTTTAAAACGAAGTCTATTGGAGCGTTGAAGAGAGAGAGAGAGAGAGAGAGAGAGAGAGAGAGAGAGAGAGAGAGAGAGAGAGAGAAAGTCTGAATGCAAAAAGTACAAGCACAATATGAACACTTATTATTTACAGTCGTCAGTTGCTTCATTGTCGATAATTCATTGTCGTGGTGATTTTCTATTTATATTGATACAATGATGTAATAAATAACGAATAGCTATTCTATAGCTATCAATTTATATTGAAAAAAAATGCAATTATACATTTATCAAATATTGAGACACTGAGATGTAAAAGGGTCTATTTTTACAGCTGAACTCTGTAATTGCACTTAAAATGAAATATGTGTATGTTCGATAACATAAGCGTGAAAAAGTATTCTAGTGCAGTCTAGAGCAGGAATAAAAAAAAAAACAAACCTATCGTAAAAGTGTTACAATTACATTTCCTTTTCGGTCAAAGCGAGGACCTTACGTGAATGACATTAATTTTGCGCAATTATAATTTTATAGCGTAATTCTTGGAAATATAGAAATACAGGGTGTCTCGTAAATTCACGTAAATCCACCGAGCATAACCTATTAGTTCATATCGCTCGTTCGTCAAACACGTTTCTAGGGCGAGTAGCGAGTTTGGCAAGAAAGAATCTAAGTCTGTTGTACTTGCGAGTATCGAATTAGGAAAATTTCCACGAGGCAAAAACGCAAAGTGGTTTTTTTTTTTTTTTAAAAAAACGAGTAACGGATACGCCGGTCACGAGATCGTGACATACTGAGCGATCCGTCGATTTAAACTCACCGCATGACTTCTGGCATATCTAAGGCTCTCCCGCCTGCGAACCCTCGTCTGATAGTCGTTCAGGCAGCACAAATAATTGTTCTCCTTGTAGTAGACGTTGTTCAACGACCTGCGCGACGTTTGAATGCTCTTCCTTCGCGGCGCCATTTTGTCATTCGAATTTCTTGGCGGCGAGAAAACGCATCGTGATTACCGTGAATGCCGACGTCGGCCATTTGTGAGTTGGCGGATTTTCATGGACCGAGATTTGAAAACGGATGAAATTCACACAGTCTCTTTCAAATGATAAAAGAGACGAAGAATTTATGATAATTTTGATTACGCAAACGCGACTCGTAAATTCGATGGCTCTACGATACGTGCTTTCACAGGACGTTATGAAATATTAGATTAAGTTTCGGATCACGTAACGTTGGAAATCAGGTCGAAGGGAAGCAACAGGTGTATACGCACTAATATATATGTGACATATATGTGCATACATAAACACGCTCTTTTAGACAGCGAATGAATATTTAGAATCTCAATCGTTCGGAGTGTATGAACTAAAATCTGAATAATTTACCAAACACGTATATATAATGAGACTCGAAAAAATCTACATAAACGTATATTTTATTTGTTTTATTACATTCACACAAAAAATAAAGAATTCTTGTGCATCCGAAAAGCTGATGTAGGCTCTGATGGGCTTTTTTTACATTTTTTTACCAAACATGTCTGTATTATTTTGTTATTGGATTGTTTTTTTAATTTTTTAAAGAAACATTACAATAGAAAGATTCGATCAAGGAAATTATATAGATAGAAATTTTTTTTTAATAATTCTGCTGGTGAATTCAATCAATTATGCATGTTTTTTTCTACTATTGTAGATTAATTTTAATCTAGGTTCAACTTTATATTTATCTTTTTTCAGTTCGAAGAATTAAAAAAAGATGCAAAACAAATTGAATCGAGAGTTTAAATTAACATTGGTAGAAACGGGCGTTAAAACTAATCGGATTTGGTCAAGTCATTCCGTCTTACAGCTGACAAAATAATAAATTCGCACAAGAGAATGAAATTCTTAAAAAAGTGTATTTAAATAATACAATATATGTTATTATAATGTTAATTATTGATCGCACCAGTTTGACACAGACTGGTACTGTTAAAAACGCCAATTCAAATGACTCAAATTTCGCGGGCGCGATATTACTAAAACTAAGTTAGGCATTTTCAATAAATTGATAATATATTTCATAAGCAAGATATAATAGCTACAATATATCATACACAATAATGGAAAATGTCAAATTTAGCCACAAGTGTAAATATCAGTGCACTAAGGAGCCATTTATTTTTTGTCTTTGTCTTTGTCTTTGTCTTTCTCCTTCTCTTTCTCTTTCTCTTTCTCTTTATCTTTGTTTTGCTGTAACGATCCAACGGCTTGGCGTACGGCTTCAGAATGCGGATCTACACCTGGCAAGTTCTCCAGGACCGATTGCAGAAAAGCAGGATCAGACATGACGGCTGCGTAATCCTCTTCCACATCCATCGCTTCTTCCTTTTGGGATTCCAGTTCTTCTATATAATAAATGCAAATAATAAGGCAATTAGACAATGATTATTGTAAATTTGTATTCGTACAACCTTTATACATTTATCCAGAAATATTATATATTATACAAAGCATTAAATAGTTTAATGCTAAAATAAACGCATATTAAACATCCCAGTTTTAATTAGCAACGAGAAAAAGACGCATTTCTAATATCTTGTAGCAATTTTCACAACTCAACGTCAAACATGCCCGTTTTCACGCTCAAACCAACAGTTCGCACGATGTCATCCACGCATCCGATCTGTATCGTTAAATCAATAATTAGGTGTGTAATCGATAATTTTCTCTAGAATAAAAAACTGGTTCAACTAATTCACCCTGTATAATTAATTATACATTAAGTTATCTGTTAGGAACTTACGCTGATCTTGCATGGACATTTGCATAGCAAAAGCAATCTGTTCTTCTTCTGTCATGTTAGTGAAGTCCGGCACATTGCTTCTGCTTGGAGCAGTATTATCACTAGCGGCAGTAGAGTCTTCTGCACCTTCAAGGGACATGGCGAGAGCACGTTTTAACATAGCTTCTTCATTCGGAGCTTCCTTTATAGTTTCCGGTTGTTTATTTGCGGCAGTCTCGTTAGCCTGCGCACGACGTGCCTCGTCTTCCTGACGTTGCCGTTGCTCCTCCATAGAAACGCGCAAAGCCTGAATCATATGAAACATACAAAATTAACACTAATCACACGAGGGAAAAGAAATTCTCAGTAAAACGCAGATACTGACTAACGCCAGCTCGGGATCTTCATTTGGATCGACTCCGAACTCGAACGCGGCACCACTCATGCCAGCTGCACCCATTCCATCTTCACCTTGAATTATAGGAGAAGAGATCAGGGCGTCTGATAAATGCGGACCTGGTGGAACAGTGACAAGATGACTTCCCGTGCCGTCCTTGCCATTCAATGCATTAACGAAGGCAGTTAGTACATCATTGTTAATGCTCTCTTCGCCAAAACTTATGACATCAACGTTCACTTTCTCCTTTTTCAGACGTTTCGCTAACTTGACTAATTCCTTCTCATCGATGTCTATTGGACTTCCGATAAATGCAACGATGCGCATTTTATGATTTTTGCCTTGCCGATGTTTCAATGCTAACTGTAAGTTTTACAATCTTTAGTACATACTTGACTCAACTATAAAACTGAAGATCTGTTTTTCAAAGAATATTTTCAATTGGTTTAACAAGTTGGAACAAAACATATTAGATTTATTTCATTTCAACTTAATGCAACAATATACACCAGTTGAAAGAGTCAATCATGAGGTGAAAATTACAAAAGTGAACAAATTTACTAGAATTTTACAATTTCATTAGCACTTAGTCACTTGTCCATTTTCATAATGTTCATCTCGTTTCATGATTATACATTCAATTCCTAGAAAATATTTCAAAAAAGAACAGATCTTGGACTAAATAATATGTACTTACATGGGCGATTCTGATGCCTGTGATGAGAGCTAACTTTCCATTTGGTTGAACCTGATGGAGTTTGGACAGTATTCTGCCAACATCGCTTGTGAGCGTCGCCAGTACTTCCACACTAGGGAGATAAAGAGATTTATGTTCATATTTACCTCACCATACATAAACTTTTACATTTATGATAATCGCAGATATCTGAATCACTACTCGGCGTACTTAGCGAGAGTTATGAGGCCAACGTTGTTCTCTGGATTCGAGCGAGTCTTGGAATGACACACCAAGTTGACGGCATCTTGCTGTGCTTGTAGCCGGGTAGGTACGAAATCTCCATTTCTCATATAATCGCTATTATCGACGCTGCAAAACGTTGAGATCACGAAGCTTTAGTTTTCGAGCATATGCGATATTTATAAACGAACGCGGACATTTCGGAGGCACTTGGAATCTGAGATTGTGTCAACGTCATTGTCACTACGCTAACCTCAAAATTGCAAACACGGTCGAACGTGTTAAATTAAGTCACAGCGGAAATATATCATTCATGGAGCGAATGAATCTCGCAAATTTATTAGAGATATCACGAGGAACGATGTTAAAAATTACGATTTCTACGAAAGCGCTAGACTTACCATATCATCGTACTTTCCAGCACCATGTTGGATGGTTTGACTGGCTCAATCGACGTAAGGTGGCGCGAGATGCGACGCGGCAATCCAATTTCTATCGACTCACGATTTACACCAATTTATACAATGCGCACGTGCGTATCATTTAAAATTTAAAGGGCGACCTCTTATTATG